AGCATCTGTTGTCTCTAGATGTTTTAATGATCACCATTCTAACTGGCATGAGATGGTATCTCAATGTAGTTTTGATTTGCATTTCTCTGATGACCAGTGATGATGAACATTTTTTCATATGTTTGTTGGCCTCATGTATGTCTTCTTTTGTAAAGTGTCTGTTCATATCCTTCGCCCACTTTTGAATGGGCTTGTTTGTTTTTTTCTTGTAAATCTGTTTTAGATCTTTGTAAATTCTGGATATCAGCCCTTTGTCAGATGGGTAGACTGCAAAATTTTTTTCCCATTCTGTTGGTTGCCGATTCCATCTAATGACTGTTTCTTTGCTGTGCAGAAGCTGTGGAGTTTGATTAGGTCCCATTTGTCTATTTTGGCTTTTGTTGCCAATGCTTTTGGTGTTTTGGTCATAATGTCCTTGCCTACGCCTATGTCCTGAATGGTTTTGCCTATTTTATTCTATGGTTTTGATGGTGTTAGGTCTTATGTTTAAGTCTTTAATCCATCTGGAGTTAATTTTAGTGTAAGGTGTCAGGAAGGAATCCAGTTTCTGCTTTCTGCACATGGCTAGCCAGTTTTCCCAACACCATTTATTAAACAGGGACTCCTTTCCCCATTGCTTGTTTTTGTCAGGTTTGTCAAAGACTGGATGGTTGTAGACATGTTGTGTTGCCTCCGAGGCCTCTGTTCTGTTCCATTGGTCTATATCTCTGTTTTGGTACCAGTACCATGCTGTTTTGATTACTGTAGCCTTGTAGTATAGTTTGAAGTCTGGTAGTGTGATCCCTCCCTCTTTGTTCCTTTTGCTTAGAATTGCCTTTGCTATGCAGGTGCATATATTTATACATATAAAATCTAAAAATAAATAGATTTCAAATATAAGAATACTTTCCAAAAATAAAAGAGAAGGGGAAGAATGAGAAGGAGAGAAAGAGGAAGAGAAAGATCCTGTGGCCATAGAAGAGTCAATTAGGTATAGAGCAGTCAATAAGTTCAGAGAAAACTGGGCTTCATACAAAGGAACATGACCACATTCAAAATTAGGATTTTGTTCTTATGGTGTAAAAGAAGTGAAAATGAACTGGAAAATATACACATGTAATATGATTATTGAATAGTTACAGTGGGGAATTGATTGTTGGGTAACAATAGATTTGCTGTTTGGGTAAGGTAGAAATCAGGCTTGCTTAGATGACAGCGATGATTGTAGTGAATAAATGGCTGCAGTAGAAATGTATTTTGCAGGTTGAGCTTTAAAATGATAGCATAGTCTGTTTGACCTGATGTAATCTGATGAATGAGGAAGAGTCAAGAATGACTCACAGTCAGCTTAATCATATAGATTAATATAAATGCCGTTTACCCAGAAGAAATAGAGTTGAAAGACAATGAGCTTGTCTTTGGGAAGCTCAGGTGGGAAGCGGTAGAGGTAGCAGAAGCCCTATGAGACAGTGAGAGACCCTGAGAGATGCTGATAAAGTGTTCCGAGAAGAATGATGTGTTCAATAGTGTTACATTACTCAGAGGTCAAATAAGATGCAACACTGAAAATGGACTCCTGGATTGACTGGAACGAAGGTCAAAGATGACTGTCACAAAATTGGAGGACAAAGTATGAAAGCCTCTGTAATGAATGTGGAGGACAAATTGGAGGTGAAAGAATGGAAGCTATACGATGTTTCAAGAACTTTTGCAATAAGGATGGCAAACAAACAATGTGATAGTAAGGAAGTATTTACAGCTGTAGGAAGACCTTTGTTAAAATGGGAGATGTTTCATCAGGTTTGTGCTGATTGAAATAAACTCATAGAGTATAGATGTTAAGATTCCAGAAACAAGTGCTCAAGCTGCCCAGTTCTCTGGGCAACTTGTTTGTGATTGGTCAACTTGGTGGTGGTTGTAATGAGATTATTCTGTTCTGATTGTTTTTGAACTTCTTAGTGAAAGCCCGTATGCTATCAGCTGAGACAGATGCAATATTCTAACACTGAACCATTTTTACCATTCTCTTTAAACATGGTGGATTATTTTCAGCAAAGGATTGACTTGTTTATACGCTTCCGAGAATTTTTTTAAAGGAATATCTTTGCAGGTCTCTATATTTTGATTAATCAGCCTCACAGAATAAATTTGGAAACATGTTAACCTGTTTTATAACTTAGAAAAAAATGAAATTAGAATTCCCTTTTGTTACTCAGCTACAAATTCGACATGAAAATGTTCTGTGCTCACTGACATTGGCGATTACAGTGAGAGCTGCTTACAGAGTTTCCTGTTAATTCCTCCATTTATATTAGGTTATTTGATATTCACTCTTTCCTCAACTTCTTGAGCCACATCTAATAACATATTACGTAAAGTAATATCAATGTCACTGAAATTTTACGTCAGAGGACTTTTACATAATGTTATCTTATTCTTTCAAAAATTCACACATCAATAATTAAATTTCCCTTCTTACTCAGTAGTTAGCATTGTTTTCTGATACTTTTAAAAATGGAATTACAAGAAGCATGCATCTTTTATTTAAAAAAAAATAGATTTTCCATCTCTTATAAACTAGGTTCTTTTCTGTTTTCTCATACTAGATACTTTAATTTTGGTGGCAAATTAACATTGATATTATGCTGGCAATATTTTAATATATTAACTAATATGTTACTAATCTGTTATAGGACTAAAAGAAGCTTGAATTTCTAAGTGACCTAATATCTACCAATATGGATGACATACAAGCAGGCACTAATTTAAAAAAAAAACTAACTAGTTTTTATAAATAGGCTAGTTAGAAGTAACATGCTAAAAAAATTAATAGAACAAATTATCTTATTTTGTTTGAAAACCTGGGGAAAAAAACAATGCCAGAGACAACTGTAATTCGATCTTTGTTAAAGCAATTTTAAGATTTTTTAGTTTGAAGTTTTTAATTCCTCACAAATTAATGTCAGCTGTTCTTTCCTAAATTTTTTACTGGGAGGCTGACATGCCAATCTTTTAAATTTTTATTTATATTACATCCTTAGTCTTCATCCTTTAAGATAGTCATTTTTGGTTATTCTCCCTTTAGAAGAGGAAACTGAAGTTCTGAAAGTTCTGTCACTTTCTATGAGACCAAAGCAACAATAGCAAGGAAAAGAGTTAGGCCCAAACTGAAATCTGAGAGATTCCAAATTCTCAGCCCCTTAAAATTCTGCTGTCTCCTTGATGAAATCCATTCAGGTTTTCTTTAAGAATGGTGACAATCACAGGCTGGGACAGAACTGATCAAAGATATAGCTGGGGAAAATGGGTAGAGTGGCTTCTGGGGAGTAGAGGCATAAAACAGCATACATTGCCCTAGAAACAAAACCAGTTGCATTGGAACTTGATAAAACCTTGTCTCAGCTTCTGGGACTTCCTTGCATTTGGTATGTTTTTCTCATTTTCTTAATTACTAGAATATCAGTAAATGAACCGAAAAAAGAATTTTAAATTTAAATGTGAGCTGTAGAGGACAGAGAGAGAAACAGTGAACTCCTTCCCCAGGCAGCTGGCTTAATTAGAACCAAGGAGGAGAGAAGCTTGCTGGAAATATCAAGGAGAAGGGGTCCTGGATGATGTCCTTATAACATGTTCATAGCTCTCAGATTCCAGACTCACAAACACTCAGGAAGAGATACCAAAATCAGAATTGCAAGCTGATTATTTTATTGGTATATTGAAGTTAGAGCATGACCATATTGTGTTTTGGCATTTGAAACACTTATCTTCTAACTCATTTCCTGAAACAAGAAAACAAGGAAGATTATAGAAAAGTCTTGACATGGCAGGAAATGTCTAATCCCTCACTGCTGTTACTGCAGTGAGGGAGATGCGAGCCCATCCTGTTGTCCTCTCTCCCCTCTGCCTCCCTCCTCTTTTGTAATATCATCTTTGTTCACTCTTTTCATGCCACTGCACATAATATGCTCTAAAGAGTTGCTTATGTAAGGAATTGAAAAGATTTTGTTAAGTGGTTTATGCTTTGTTGCTGTTGGACATGTTCAGGGTTATTTTCACAGATATGGGCATGGCAACATATCTTGTAATAGTGAGAGCGTGAAACCAGCCTCCATGTCCAGTGACATGTATTGGTTAAAGAAATCATGGCACAGCTAAAAAATAGAATAGTATACACTTGTAAAGACAAACCAAAATCACTGAAGAGATCTATATACCTTTCTGAACTCATGTAGAAGGTTTCTAAGAAATACATTTTTTCAATGGGTAGCATTCAGATCTGCATATAAGGTGTGGTATCAGTTTTGAAAATACAAGCATTATATATATTTATTTAGCAATAAATATTTCAAAAAAGAAGTTCCAAAGTGTACAGAGTGAGGCTTTGGAAAAGGGGAGAGGGAAGGAATTATGAGTTATGCTGTTACTATTTAGCTCTATACATTTCTATTCAGTGAAATTTTTTTTGTTAGCTTAATTATGTACTAATTTAAAAGAAAGTATTTTAAAAATGATACACCATTTAACACCTGAAAGTCCAAGGACCATTTAGCAGCCATACTGGACTTGAAAGGCTGGTGTGAGGCAGGACTGAGCAAGGAGTGTTCAGGTGAGAACTTTAAATAAATGGGAGGTCTTTGAGTTTAAGGAAAGAAGACAGAGTGCCAGACGGAGAACATGGTTCTAAGTCCTCATTGTCAACCATTCATAGGAGAGGTAATTTGAAGACAATGATTCTCAAAATCAGAACTGCCTTCAAGCGATTGTTTAAAAACAAGGTCTTGCTACCCTACCCCAGACTATCTGAACAAAAATCTTTAGAAATGTGTTCCTGGACAAGGCAATATTAACAGGCTTTCAGTGGATTCATTGACACAGTGAAGCTGGGGAACTGTAGTAGTTGGGGCCTTTGATGGAGTTTAAACTGGAATCATACCTGTCATTGAATCCTAGATTACTGGGGAGGCTGCCCCTGTTGTGGGGGTGGTCCTTGTGGCTGTCCTGGAGGAGGTGGTGGACCATGGTGGTGGTGGTGGCCTCCCTGTGGCTGTGGTCCTTGTGGCTGTCCTGGAGGAGGTGGTGGACCACGGTGGTGGTGGCCTCCCTGTGGGTGTGGTCCTTGTGGCTGTCCTGGAGGAGGTGGTGGACCACGGTGGTGGTGGCCTCCCTGTGGGTGTGGTCCTTGTGGCTGTCCTGGAGGTGGTGGTGGACCGTGGTGGTGGTGGCCTCCTTGTGGGGGTGGTCCCTGCTGAGGACCCTCATCCTGGTTTCCATCACCAGCAGGGGGCCTAGGTGGGTGTCCTCCAAGAGGTGGTTCCTGACTCTCCTCATCTGGGCTCTGGTTAGAGCCCCCTTCATCTGCTTGAGCTGAAACCAGAAGAGCTGAGCTCAGTGCTGGAAGACCCTCCTGTCTTCATACGTCTCTGTGTTCACCACACGACCCGTGTCTCCCTGACCTGCCTTCAACTGTCAGCCTCCTGCCTTTCCAGGGCTTCCTCATTAGAACTCCTCTTAATTCGCATGAGGGTGATGAAAAATCAAATGGCTTTGCTCATGGTCCCCAGAATCAAGGTTGGGAGAAAACTGCTTCTATCTCTGGGGGCACTAACATTAGTCAATTCCTGAGAAGAAAGTCATGATAAGAAGACACTGGAGAACTGCATCCTTTGCAGCAGTCCCATGTCTCTACAAATGCAAATCTCACTCTCTTACTGTCCTCGTCCAAACTATTGATCAATTTTTCAGGAAAAAAAAAGGAGACAAGTTTACTGAGAATTTATTTGGATTTACCTGATATCAGTGGGGGAACGTCTTCTTGGCTGACATCTAGAAAAGAAGTACAGGATGATGGGAAAATTACTTCATGAATCTTTCAGGGCTCATAGTGTTCTATGAGGAAAAGGGACTGCTGATCACACCCTGCGCATCCCCTAAGTGACCTCATCAGCCACTGTCTGTGATGCTACTGGAAGCGGAGGAAGATGTGAGGGGAAGCAGGGTTGTTACTATTCTGAGCATCAACCAGGAACTCAACATACAAGGGCCCCTGTTTTGTCTCCCTGTGATTCCTCAAGCCTTAGTGCTTATTTAGTTCAACTGCCCTGAGTATGTCAATGTCATACTTGGGGATTCTTCTGCCCTCTTCTATAAACATGTTGCTGATGTTTGCGAGCTTTCTCAATAAGGGCCACCAGGAAAAACCATTTGGATACATACAATCCTACACATGCCATTCCCAGCACATTGAAATACTACACGTAGGGGAGAGAAAAATGACAGCTTCACTCTGATTATTCTCTCTCTCTGTAGACAGAGACAATGTTTTACCCATTTCTCTGTCTCTGCAGTAGGTCTCATATTTGTTTATATTCTTCACTGATGCTGATCCACTGTACAGCAAGGCCAGCATCATCCCTGTATACTGAGAACAGTACAGGATCTTCACAGCTGGACTTCCCTGAACCTGTCTTGCATTTTCCATTGCATCTTTCATGGCAGTCCCATGTCTCTATAAATGCAAATCTCACTCTCTCTCTCTCCCCTGGCACAAATTATTTATTGGGTTCTATTTGTGAAATAAATTATGAGGTCTTGCTGAGGAATGAGGGCACAACAGGTCTTCTGATCCTTGGCATGAGAACTCCGCAGTGCCATCTGTTTTCTCAGCCTCCTCTCTTCCCTTCACTATCCCCCTCTATAGCGTGAGCTTCTAAACCCCAGTCAGAGTCACAAGATCTTGCCCCAATTTGTCTTACCTTCACTTACGCTCTGAGCTGAGCTCACGGCCAGCAGGGCCACTGACAGCAGAATCACAAGCATCTTGCAGGAGGCTCTGGTGTTGCTCCCAGCTTTGTGCTGGGAGAAAACATGGCAGCTCCCTTTATAAAGACAAGCAGAACAATGGCACATTTGAGCTCCCTACAGGGTGGGCTTCATCACCTCCGAGACTGGGTTCTGCTTTGCTTACTTCAGGTCAAGTGTATCCCTCACTTCTTTTGGGATTCTAGCCCAGCAGGAAGGGTTGGGTAGAATGCTGTGTTAATTAAATTTCTAAAATGTACAAGTATAACTTGGACAAAGGTGTTGACCGAACTGTGTCCAAGCAATCAATCAACACAGTGTCAGAATTGAACTTTAGATATCGTTTAGTTTCAATCTGTTTGGTAGACTGCTATTCTGCTTCCCACTGTGCTTTTCGTCTCTCTCTATCTCTCTTTCTCTCTCTCTCTCTCTCTCTCTGTGTGTGTGTGTGTGTGTGTGTGTGTGTGTGTGTCGAGGGTGATAGGTAGCAATCCTACAGCTAACAGTGAAGATAGTCAATGTCTCTGACTCATTTTATAGCCGATTCCATCTCTCACAACGTGTGTGTATGGATATTGTCACATTTAGCTACACTTTTCATGTAGTAGAGATGGTCTCTGCTTATCTGTGAGATGTGTGGACACAGCACACTCCTGGGCACACACAGAAGACAGAAAACTGCTCAGCAGCCTGCTCAGGCTACAGGAATTGTCCAAGCTTCTGTGGATCTCAATCCACTCAGGCAAGCCTTGGCTCTGTACAACACAGGAAAGCTAAATAATTGCATTTTATAAATATCTTTAGGGATTATTAAAGCAAAACTGAACACAGAAACCACCAAGGAATTTCTAAACCTGAACAAACTGAAATGTGGTTCCCTCAGTTAGCCATGTGATGTCATATAGCTAAGACCTCCACTTTCTCCAGAATATTCTATAGAATTCATCCTCTGCTTCATTTACCCCAAGAAATATTGTGTTCCCCACCACTGATAATTAAGTGACCACAATTTCACATTCAACTAAGATTATTTGATATGCTTATCCAAGCCTCAACTGCAGTGATTGGGCTTCTGTTTTTTACTCAGTATTTACGTCACCTGTTTCATCAGAGTGTCATTTCACACAGATGATTTTTTCTATAATATTTTAATACTCATTCTTTCTCACTTTATTTCTGGCAATTATTTGTTGATACTTAATGAGACTACTTTGCCACATGTAGTTTTCTTCCTATATCTGTTATGTTTTTCCCCCACATGACTTTTGAAAGATGTCCTTTAATCTTCTAAATAATGGTGTATGGTACTCCTCACTATCTTTATTTTCACTTTTGTCTGTACAGTTGAACAATAAACTATTAAGTTTCCAAAAAGCGCTTTCAGTGTCCTGGATTGGTAGCTCTCTTCTCAGCTTGGATTGCTCCATAATACTTAGAAATTTCCTGTTCATCAATTCAATAAAATATACTAGTCAGTATCACCAGTTGCCAGCAACCATTTCAGACCTGGGTAATTTTTTGCTTTTTGTATATGGTTACTTTTAGGTTGAGGATAGCTTAGTTGGAGGCATGGCTGGGAGGCCATTTGACAGGAAGTCATAAAGACAAGCCCCTAGACAGGTGTGCCTGAGTGGATCCTCTGCTGTGCATAGGAGCGTCTGGTCTGGCCCTTCTGAAGTGTTGCAGATAATAATACAGGAAGGCTTCCTAACAGAACTGGTTTTGCTGCAGACAGTGTTGTTCTTGTAAGGGAGCCAGGCAGATCGGTATTTTCCGTGGAATAAATATGGACATATTTGAAGAGTGATTACATTCTTAATTGGTAACTCTTCTCTGGCACTGTAGGAAGTGGATCAGTTCTAGTTGGGCTTTATGAGTTTTATCATAGGCAGAGCATAGTTGCTTGAGCCCACCAGGTCCCACTGTGTTACTGGGATTATTGTCTCTGGTTTCACCAGATATTGTTTTCCATGGGATCTGGAGATGAACCGTTCTGCCTAGGTGACTTCAGGTCAACCATCATGACACAAAGGAAGGTCAGAGAAAAGGAACAAAGAGGAATGCCAGCCAGATTTTGCCTGATGATGTGGGCAACTGAGCATGCTTCAGGCCTGGTGCAAGAAAGGTTTCTCCTTGGCAGGAGGGTCAGGAAAAGAACAGGTAATGCCCCTAAAGGTCACTTGCTGACACTGGAAAAGGTCCCTTCTCTTACCTTTTCCAGGGTCAGCAATCAGTAAAAGAGGCTAGTGTATCAGAAATGCGTAAATATCGGCTATGCACTCACCAGATATGTCAAATAGAGAGGTGATGGAAGAGCTGAAAGGTCCACTGTCTGTGAGTGAGGGTGGGTGGAAGGGAGAGGCAGGACTGCTTGTGGGGGCTGGGGCACCTAGAGGTGAGTGGCAGCCCTTAGCGCTTCGCTTGCCTTCTGCTATGGATGTTCATTTTCTGAGGTCCTGAAGGGTGGGTCTTCAACATGTGAAATTTTAGAATTCATCTCTCATAACACATCCCAACATTTTCTCAGTCTCTGACAGGTGTTTACGCAGTGGTTCAAAAACACTCACTCCCTCCAGGCTGTACCCATTAGCAGATATAATTGCCTTTACTTTCAAAATACACCCCAAATATGATCACTTCTATGGTCTTTACTAGAACGTGATTGTTCAGCCCATGATGCTGTCTCCTGGAGGACTTTAACAGCCTCCAGCTGCTCTTGGTGACATTCTTCTCCCAGCACATCCCATATCTGTTGCCTCACAACAGTCAGAGTGATCATTTAAGTAGAAATTAGATTATCTCACCCTTGTGCTTCAAATCCCCTGGTTTTCCTTCTGCGCTTGTGAAAACTTCCAAATTTCATGCCTCAGCTCTTTTGCACTCACATGCCTCACTCTTTTCTGAAGACTCGGAACCTCTCTGAATGGAACAGAAAGCGGAATATTCTTCAGCCTTGCCTAACTCCAATTTGTCTGGAACACTAAAGCATGGTTTGCCAGCAAAGATGAATCCTGGCACAGTGGATAAACTTCTGCTGAGAGTGAATGAATTGTATCGAGTTGCTGTGGTCTAGCAGTTTATGTGAATTGGAAGAATTATGGTATTCATTGCACCAACTAAGCATTCTGATAATACAATTGGCAAATAAACACAATATCTCTGAGTCTTCAACTTTGCTTTGATTTGTCTAAAAGCTTTGGTTACACTATCATGGTGGTCTTCT